CCGAAGAACACTAGCCATGCATATTTGACCCATTTTCCCCTCATTTATTCATCTGTGTGTGTGTGTGTGTAAAAATATAATAATAAATGCTAAATATTTAGATAATATATTTATATTTTGAAAACTATTTATTTTACATGAACTTTTACAATCCATTATTTGATGATAAAAGTGATTTCAAGATATTTTTAAACAGACAGCAGCTGATTCGATTAGTTGAGTGTCGAATGTGCGCACTGTGGATCGACAGTCAAACGACTCTTTCACGTGTATGTTTGACACGTCATTCAGTAGCTCGAGCACGGAAGTGTTTCCACGGATCTGCCGTCCGAAAGACAGCGCTACTAAAGTATTTCATCCACAATGGGTAGGTCTGCGTGAATTCAAATATATTTTGTTGGATATAAGGGACAGCTCATTTTAAAATGTAATTAATACGAACGCTTTTCTGTGTGCTTACAAAGTGAAGTTCGCCTGGTGATGCTAGTCTGTTTGTTAGCATAGCAGATTACAAAATAACTGTTATTGAAAAGCTCAATTTTAAAACATTTTTTACTTTTTTCATTACGTTTATAGTGTTTTATTTAAATATGTTTGAGTGCAATTTCAATATGTGATTTGCATTTAGTATGATTCCGATGTAAAATTGCATTAGCTAATGTTTTTCTTTTCTAATTTGTTCTGTAATTTTTATACAATTCTTATCTTTTGTCAGGGGGCTTCTTTTCCAGCCTCTTCTCAGGCCTGTTTGGCACCAGAGAAATGAGAATCCTCATTTTAGGTTTGGATGGAGCTGGAAAAACCACCATATTGTACAGACTTCAAGTGGGAGAAGTGGTCACCACGATTCCTAGTACGCGTTTATGATGATTTATGTAATTAACTTTATACATGAGACGCAGCGTGAAGCTAATTTTCTATTTTTCAAACACAGCAATTGGTTTTAATGTGGAAACTGTGACATACAAGAACTTAAAGTTCCAAGTGTGGGACCTCGGTGGACAGACGAGTATCAGGCAAGATGTTTTCATTTTGCTTTGTATTATACTGATTAAGAAAGAAAGCATCCAAGCTAAAAATCTTATCTTCCTCCTCCACAGGCCGTACTGGCGGTGTTATTACTCCAACACAGACGCAGTGATTTACGTCGTGGACAGCAGTGACCGTGATCGGATGGGCATCTCCAAATCTGAGCTGGTGGCCATGTTGGAGGTTGGTCAGATGTGGTTTCTGTTACGTAACTTTCTATTGTATTGCTGCGTTTCAAGTACCTTTTTTGGATGTTAAAGGCTCTTCGTGGAACAAAAGATGCCAATAAAGAACCTTTATTTTAAAGGGTGAAGTCATCTGTCTTGTCTTTCAGGAGGAGGAGCTGAAGAAAGCCATTCTGGTGGTGTTTGCAAACAAGCAGGACATGGAACAGGCCATGACGCCTACCGAAGTGGCTAACTCTCTCGGTTTACCTGCGCTCAAAGATAGGAAGTGGCAGATCTTCAAGACGTCTGCTACTAAAGGCACAGGCCTGGATGAGGCAATGGAATGGTGAGAGTTTAACTTTTTGAGAATGTAACTACAAATACTTTGCATTGTATTTACTAATACCTCCCTGTTCCGCCACATTTCAGGTTGGTTGAGTCACTGAAGAGCCGGCAGTAAACGCACTCGCAGGAACATCTTGTAAATAGGAACTTCAGAGACTTCTTATTGGGTGTCCTTTGGACCAATGACTGCATTCTTCCTATTGTGTGAAGGCCGTCCTCTTTTCCCATTTAGTACAGAAACGTTGAGCGGTATTGAATGGACTCTCCATGATTGAACTCTTCCCTCCCCCCCCTGATGCTTGTGTTTTTGGTAAACCGTATCCACTACATTTGTAATTTCAGAGGTGATTGCTTTTGACATTTAGCCCGATTCGGAATAATCATTGCAGATCAGTTTGATATTATGTGGGTAGATATTTATGACTAACTGTCATTTGTATGCTTTGAATTTGTAATGGCATATTTATATTTGCACAAGTACAGGGGCGTGCACTCCTGCGTTATGGCTGTGAAATAAATATGCAGTCGACGCGTATTGAATCATGCATAACATCAAACAATGGCTGAGCTGTTTTTGCATGTTTTTTTTATTTATTTAAAAACACTGCACAAGTTGCAAAAATCCATACAGTGTTGCAGAATATCAGTCCTCTCGCCACCGAGAACAGGTTTTAAGAAACACTTGCTCTCTGGCAGACGCACAGACCCTCTCAGCTGTGCTGTATACATTTGGCTATGTATTAGTTAGCAAAAAAAATGAAACTGCAGCAAATGGATCAGCTGATTATAGCCAAGTCTTTCAGTGATGTGCCTTTGTGTTTCTTTGCTTTATGTCCTGTGCGCACAAACAAGATTTTCCGCTTTTTGGCCTCGTTTTTCTTTAACTGCTTCTTTACCTTCTTTCTGGCAGCAATGTCAGGATTTACAACAGCCTGTCAAAGGAAAAAAAAGATAGTCAGAATGCATGTTTTAAGAAATTACTAATATAATTAGTCATTTTTACTTCGGTTATAAAGATGTGTAACTTGGAAATTAAACAAATTGCTTATTATAGTTGTCTCTAAATACTAGAAAAGGAATAGATCACACACTTCAGTTTTGATTTGAGCATCTCAGTGCTTCTTACCTGCATGGCCTTGGCTTTTTTGCGTGAAGTTCGTCTCTGAGAGGCTTCTTTCTGCACTGCGGCAAAAGCCAGAGAGAATCGCTCCAGACCGACCAGCTTCTTCAACAACTCGATCAACTCCTGAGCCAGATTCTTCAGTGTGGGGTCTGAAACAAGACCAAAAGAATCGAAAGATCAGTGAAATGTCAGTTTCAGCCACATAGTCAATGGTTGAGGTAGTAACACTATACATTTAGTAGTGAAATTCTAATTGAAAAAAAACATGAAATAAGTCAGGAAAATCTAATCCATTTTCTTTTCATATTTATAAAAAGTTTGCATGTGTCTTTTTGGTTGAGTATCATGTTTGATTCATCAGGCTTTTATGGCTCATAGTGTGTATAATGTAGTGAGAAAAAAACACCTCGATTTTATTTTATTTAGGCACAATATGATCAAAAATATGCAATTTGGTGCAGTCGCTGATACTTGGGCAAAATGTAAGATAAAATTTTGATTTGTAATGTTATTCAGTGAGATCTTTATTATAGCTTAGAGCTATAGTGCATCTT